GGACCTAGAGAAGACGGTTAGAGCATCCGTTGGTGGACCTAGAGAAGACGGTTAGAGCATCCGTTGGTGGACCTAGAGAAGACGGTTAGAGCATCCGTTGGTGGACCTAGAGAAGACGGTTAGAGCGGTTGACCTAGAGAAGACGGTTAGAGCATCCGTTGGTGGACCTAGAGAAGACGGTTAGAGCATCGGTTGGTGGACCTAGAGAAGACGGTTAGAGCATCCGTTGGTGGACCTAGAGAAGACGGTTAGAGCGGTGGACCTAGAGAAGACGGTTAGAGCATCCGTTGGTGGACCTAGAGAAGACGGTTAGAGCATCCGTTGGTGGACCTAGAGAAGACGGTTAGAGCGGTGGACCTAGAGAAGACGGTTAGAGCGGTGGACCTAGAGAAGACGGTTAGAGCATCCGTTGGTGGACCTAGAGAAGACGGTTAGAGCATCCGTTGGTGGACCTAGAGAAGACGGTTAGAGCGGTGGACCTAGAGAAGACGGTTAGAGCATCCGTTGGTGGACCTAGAGAAGACGGTTAGAGCATCCGTTGGTGGACCTAGAGAAGACGGTAAGAGCATCCGTTGGTGGACCTAGAGAAGACGGTTAGAGCATCCGTTGGTGGACCTAGAGAAGACGGTTAGAGCGGTTGACCTAGAGAAGACGGTTAGAGCATCCGTTGGTGGACCTAGAGAAGACGGTTAGAGCATCCGTTGGTGGACCTAGAGAAGACGGTTAGAGCATCCGTTGGTGGACCTAGAGAAGACGGTTAGAGCGGTGGACCTAGAGAAGACGGTTAGAGCATCCGTTGGTGGACCTAGAGAAGACGGTTAGAGCATCCGTTGGTGGACCTAGAGAAGACGGTTAGAGCATCCGTTGGTGGACCTAGAGAAGACGGTTAGAGCGGTTGACCTAGAGAAGACGGTTAGAGCATCCGTTGGTGGACCTAGAGAAGACGGTTAGAGCTGTGGACCTAGAGAAGACGGTTAGAGCATCCGTTGGTGGACCTAGAGAAGACGGTTAGAGCATCCGTTGGTGGACCTAGAGAAGACGGTTAGAGCATCCGTTGGTGGACCTAGAGAAGACGGTTAGAGCATCCGTTGGTGGACCTAGAGAAGACGGTTAGAGCATCCGTTGGTGGACCTAGAGAAGACGGTTAGAGCGGTTGACCTAGAGAAGACGGTTAGAGCATCCGTTGGTGGACCTAGAGAAGACGGTTAGAGCATCGGTTGGTGGACCTAGAGAAGACGGTTAGAGCATCCGTTGGTGGACCTAGAGAAGACGGTTAGAGCGGTGGACCTAGAGAAGACGGTTAGAGCATCCGTTGGTGGACCTAGAGAAGACGGTTAGAGCATCCGTTGGTGGACCTAGAGAAGACGGTTAGAGCATCCGTTGGTGGACCTAGAGAAGACGGTTAGAGCATCCGTTGGTGGACCTAGAGAAGACGGTTAGAGCATCCGTTGGTGGACCTAGAGAAGACGGTTAGAGCGGTTGACCTAGAGAAGACGGTTAGAGCATCCGTTGGTGGACCTAGAGAAGACGGTTAGAGCATCCGTTGGTGGACCTAGAGAAGACGGTTAGAGCATCCGTTGGTGGACCTAGAGAAGACGGTTAGAGCATCCGTTGGTGGACCTAGAGAAGACGGTTAGAGCATCCGTTGGTGGACCTAGAGAAGACGGTTAGAGCGGTTGACCTAGAGAAGACGGTTAGAGCATCCGTTGGTGGACCTAGAGAAGACGGTTAGAGCATCCGTTGGTGGACCTAGAGAAGACGGTTAGAGCATCCGTTGGTGGACCTAGAGAAGACGGTTAGAGCATCCGTTGGTGGACCTAGAGAAGACGGTTAGAGCATCCGTTGGTGGACCTAGAGAAGACGGTTAGAGCATCGAAAGTATTGTTTTAGTGGCAAACCCAAGAAACATCACGATAATATAATCATCAGTAGATTTGTAGCAAACATTCCGACAACATAAGCATCAGTATAGCAAACATCACGACAATATAAGCATCACTAGAGTAAACATCACGACAATATAAGCATCACCAGAGTATAGCAAACATCACGACAATATAAGCATCACTAGAGAATTTTAAAAATCACGACAATATAAGCATCACTAGAGTATAGCAAACATCACGACAATATAAGCATCAGTAGAGTATAGCCAACATCACGACAATATAAGCATCAGTAGAACGCTGGAAACATGAAAACATCAAACAACTGACACTATGAGCACGTGATGAGGATGATATGGATAAGTGCCAGATCAAACAGCAGCATGAGATGCCAAATTGTGTTTTTACTTTTGAGCCTCCGTTTTGTGCCGGCTCCTAAGACGATCTCACACATTTAAACATTGAGACGCTCAAGTGCGAGCCGTAGAATTGTGTCGTCAATAACAACAAGAAAATAGCGGTCGTTTAATGTCAGCTAAAAATAACCTGTGCGGCTTGTAATCAGCTCAGCTAGAAAGGCCGCACAAAAATGTTAATATAGATCCAAGCACCTCATCCTATTAGTAGGTCAATGATGACTCATTGCGTGAGTACTTTAGGTAGCATCTAGCGGCTCACTCAGACCTTCACGTCTGCTAATGTTAAGTCGATGACGACTTCATCCCCACCTTGTCGGCTGACGCAGCACAGCCGCCTTAAGAAAACCTCTCAAGATGGGACATGAATTATTCAGGAGCCGGTCGGACTATAAAACAATGAGCTTTAACTGTATCAAATAGATTCACAAAGTTCTCTTGGCGGATAGAAATTTGTCAAGGCTTCGGTCCATTCAAACTAGCATAAAATCGATGCTTATTTATTTAAGCACCGCCTGACCCCTAGATGACCCCTGGGACAGGCTGCAACCCAGCGTCTGGTGGGTTGAGTTCAATTAAGTCAGCTCTGTATAGCTGTCCTGACTAGCACATCAGCTCTGTATAGCTGACCTAACTAGAGGCACATCAGCTCTGTATAGCTGACCTAACTAGAGGCACATCAGCTCTGTATAGCTGACCTAACTAGAGGCACATCAGCTCTGTATAGCTGACCTAACTAGAGGCACATCAGCTCTGTATAGCTGTCCTAACTAGAGGCACATCAGCTCTGTATAGCTGACCTAACTAGAGGCACATCAGCTCTGTATAGCTGACCTAACTAGAGGCACATCAGCTCTGTATAGCTGACCTAACTAGAGGCACATCAGCTCTGTATAGCTGACCTAACTAGAGGCACATCAGCTCTGTATAGCTGTCCTGACTAGAGGCACATCAGCTCTGTATAGCTGACCTAACTAGAGGCACATCAGCTCTGTATAGCTGTCCTGACTAGAGGCACATCAGCTCTGTATAGCTGTCCTGACTAGAGGCACATCAGCTCTGTATAGCTGTCCTGACTAGAGGCACATCAGCTCTGTATAGCTGACCTAACTAGAGGCACATCAGCTCTGTATAGCTGTCCTGACTAGAGGCACATCAGCTCTGTATAGCTGACCTAACTAGAGGCACATCAGCTCTGTATAGCTGACCTAACTAGAGGCACATCAGCTCTGTATAGCTGACCTAACTAGAGGCACATCAGCTCTGTATAGCTGTCCTAACTAGAGGCACATCAGCTCTGTATAGCTGACCTAACTAGAGGCACATCAGCTCTGTATAGCTGTCCTGACTAGAGGCACATCAGCTCTATATAGCTGTCCTGACTAGAGGCACATCAGCTCTGTATAGCTGTCCTGACTAGAGGCACATCAGCTCTGTATAGCTGTCCTGACTAGAGGCACATCAGCTCTGTATAGCTGTCCTAACTAGAGGCACATCAGCTCTGTATAGCTGACCTAACTAGAGGCACATCAGCTCTGTATAGCTGTCCTGACTAGAGGCACATCAGCTCTGTATAGCTGTCCTGACTAGAGGCACATCAGCTCTGTATAGCTGTCCTGACTAAATTTCTGGCTTCATTTGGTCGACCGACTAGTAACATTTAATAAGCTGGAACATTATAAGCTAGATCGATGTGTTCTAAAGCAAATTAGGACAAGAATCTTAGGGGCACAGAAGCAACTCTTCGTGGGCTACTTTTGGCGCGTATGTCTCTGAGAGATGTTGGCCAAGGCACACAAGAAGGCTTCACATTTAGGGACAACATTATAATACATTGAGGGCCAACATTCGGCCACACATTTACAGTTGGGATTTGACTGGCGGGAAATTAAGTGTTCGATAATTAGGTGGATAAAACACTTGGTCAAGACATTGATCCTGAATCTATGTCCAATGGTTCATGCGTTTAGTGATTGGGAAGACTCGACAGTTCATTAAGTATACACATTGGTGAGATGACTAGGACAGTTCATTAAGTCGATATATTGCCACTTACATAATACACTGTGTCATATTTACATGTGTACTTAGTTACGCTACTTACACACATTTATAGCGTACACAATCACGAAACATACACATATTTATAAAATACATATAGACGCTAAGTACACAGACAATGTACACATCATGGAGCTAACACAGCTGTACATATAGACATATAGACGCTATGTACACAGTGTACACATCATGGAGCTAACACAGCTGTACATATAGGCGCTATGTACACAGTGTACACATCATGAATCTAACACAGCTGTACATATATGAATCTAACACAGCTGTACATATAGACGCTATGTACACAGTGTACACGTCATGAAGTTAAGACAGCTGCACATATAGACGCTATGTACACAGTGTACACATCATGAATCTAACACAGCTGTACATATAGACGCTATGTACACAGTGTACACATCATGAAGCTAAGACCGCTGTACATATAGACGCTATGTACACAGTGTACACATCATGAAGCTGACACAGCTGAACATATAGACGCTATGTACACAGTGTACACATCATGAAGCTAACCCAGCTGCACATATAGACGCTATGTACACAGTGTACACATCATGAAGCTAACCCAGCTGTACCAACGTCTCCCCCACTGGGACTGGCATATTCCTCTTACCTGATGATACACAGGCTGGTAGGTCTGCCCGTGGCGGGACATCCTCAAGATGTGGCTGCCGTTACTGACGTACAGCTGGTCACCGCCTGGGGAGGGAACAGATAAAAATAGATTTGTTAGGGGGCCAGCAGACGGTCTTGTACAGTTTTAACTTATGTCTTTATGTCTGTGTGCTGGGGGACATGTTGATGATAGCTTTAGTGGGTCCTTGTTTTAGGACATTTTGATGAGAGCTTTAGTGGGTCCTTGTTTTAGGACATTTTGATAACAGCTTTAGTGGGTTCTAGTATAGGACATATAAAATGCTAGTCGCAAAATGTTTTAAAAGTTTCTCCATTTTTCGTTACTTTCCTGAGCAGGTTTGAATCACTTCTCATCAAAATCTGGCCAAAGAACCTCAAATTCCAGCCAGGAAAGTCTGCTCTAGAACATTCTCCCCGCTACGTATTGAGTACTTGATGCTAATTAGGTCGTGATGGATCTTGTGGCCCCCTGCTAGCAGCCACCGTTTGAGCGCAGGTCATTAGCTGGCCGGGAAGAAGCCAGATGTGGCCGGTACCAGAGCTCTTCCACGCCGCTACTTCAGTCGGTGCTAACGACTGCTACGTTTTTTCCTTCCTCAAGTCTGTAATGATCCCACTCTTCATCCCTCGCTCCTGCCCTCTCAACATCTGATTTAAATCCCCCAAAGAGATGAGCTCCCGTGGGTGGGGATGTAATTAAGGAAATCATCTAAGTCACGTGTATACAGCAAGTCTTGTTAAGTTAAGCTTGTTTTGGTAGGTTTGTGGCTTTGAGGTAAACTTTAATTTGATAAAATTAATTGTAAACCAGCTCAATGTGGCGTATGAACGTGTATGTTTCGGGGGCGGGGAAGGTTGGCAAACTGTAGTGTTGTCTTAGTGTCCAGGTTTTGCTGTATGAATCAGGCCCCACTATGTCAGTATTAGGCCCCACTATACCAGGCCCCACTCTGTCAGTACCAGGCCCCACTCTGTCAGTACCAGGCCCCACTCTGTCAGTACCAGGCCCCACTCTGTCAGTACCAGGCCCCACTCTGTCAGTACCAGGCCCCACTCTGTCAGTACCAGGCCCCACTCTGTCAGTACCAGGCCCCACTCTGTCAGTACCAGGCCCCACTCTACCAGGCCCCACTCTACTAGGCCCAACTGTCAGTACCAGGCCCCACTATGTTAGTAGCAGACCCCACTATGTTAGTAGCAGGCCCCACTCTGTCAGTACCAGGCCCCACTCTGTCAGTACCAGACCCCACTTTGTCAGTACCAGGCCCCACTCTGTCAGTACCAGGCCCCACTCTGTCAGTACCAGGCCCCACTCTACCAGGCCCCACTCTACTAGGCCCAACTGTCAGTACCAGGCCCCACTATGTTAGTAGCAGACCCCACTATGTTAGTAGCAGGCCCCACTATGTTAGTAGCAGGCCCCACTATCAGTACCAGGCCCCGCTCTACCAGGCCCCAATATGTCAGTATCAGGCACCACTTTGTCAGTAGCAAGCCCCACTTTGGGTCCCACTCGGTGCCTGAACACCTCCCGTACCACCCCCTTCCCTTTCCCTTACCACCCCCTTACCATCGCCTTCTCTTCCCCTTACCACCCCCTTACTACAATGATGTTACATCTCCCTCCACTACAGACGACGTCATATATAAATTATCTTTGGTCCTAATCGCCGATAATTTCCTAGACTTGAAAAATCACTTGAAAAAAAAATAATTTTGACAACTTTTTAGGAGCAGATAACTTTTGGTCGACGTAATTCCACTTGATTATCTTCCTTGTTTTTTCCCGGCTCCAGCGGTTAGCGCGGTGTCGTTTAATGGACGATAAACAGGGCAGACAGGCCAGGTGGCTTACGTGCCCCTGTTGATGGCAGCAAGTAGTGAGGGTGGGGGGCAGGGGGGGGGCAGAGTTGTGAGATAAAATAGGTCGAGGTATCTGGTGGGGGGGGGGGGAGGGAAAATAGGTCAGTGAAAATAATAAGTAAGTAACTGGGGAGCTCAAAATCCCCCCCCCCCCCCGCGTGAAGTTACAAGAAACGAAACCTTGAAATTTGCGTACTTCAAGGGGAAAAAATAAGCTTATGGATTTTGTTGTGTTCAATTAACGCAACGGTTATTTTTTGAGTTGTCTTCTCTTGACATTTGAAAGTTTTTAAATGTTTTCCATTCACCTGGATTTCTGTAGCACATGGTGGCCTTTGTAGCTCTTGGTGGCTTTTTGTAGCTCATGTAATGGTGGCTTTTTGTAGCTCATGTGATGGTGGCTTTTGTAGCTCATGTAATGGTGGCTTTTTGTAGCTCATGTGATGGTGGCTTTTTGTAGCTCATGTGATGGTGGCTTTTTGTAGCTCATGTGATGGTGGCTTTTTGTAGCTCATGTGATGGTGGCTTTTTGTAGCTCATGGTGATGGTGGCTTTTTGTAGCTCATGTGATGGTGGCTTTTTGTAGCTCATGTAATGGTGGCTTTTTGTAGCTCATGTGATGGTGGCTTTTTGTAGCTCATGTAATGGTGGCTTTTTGTAGCTCATGTGATGGTGGCTTTTTGTAGCTCATGGTGATGGTGGCTTTTTGTAGCTCATGTGATGGTGGCTTTTTGTAGCTCATGTGATGGTGGCTTTTTTAAAATTGTTTTTGTAGGACCTCACTAACTTGGTATTTTATTATCCCACAAAATACCATGTTAGTGATGGATGAGCGATTCGGTGGTCAGACATTTTTTGTTTGACAGGCGAGAATTTCCAATTGCAATCAGCACTAATTACCTCATGTAATATGTAGAAGTGGAAGAGTTAGTTGTTTCTCTTTCATCTAACTCAGTTCGTGTATGGGACGTGTTGTACACTGCTCACATATTTCAACCACACTAGCCACACGTGTCCCTCACACTAGCCACACCACACATGTCCCTCACACTAGCCACACCACACATGTCCCTCACACTAGCCACACATGTCCCTCACACTAGCCACACCACACATGTCCCTCACACTCTCCACACCACACATGTCCCTCACACTAGCCACACATGTCCCCCACACTAGCCACACCACACATGTCCCTCACACTAGCCACACATGTCTCTCACACTAGCCACACCACACATGTCCCACACGCTAGCCACACATGTCCCTCACACTAGCCACACCACACATGTCCCTCACACTAGCCACACCACACATGTCCCACACGCTAGCCAGAAATGGACATTTGAAGCAGACTTAGAGAGCTGACCAGCATCATAAATCCTAATCGATCTGCATTTCCTCAAACCAAATTTGCGTGGAAACGTGTGTGGTGGTGTGGGTGTAGTTGGCTTGATCCAATGTTAAATGGGTGTGGTTGGTGTTGGCTAGATCCAATGTTATACGGTTGGTGTTGGCTAGATCCGATGTTATATGGGTGTGGGTGTGGTTGGCTAGATCCGATGTTATATGGGTGTGGTTGGCTAGATCCAATGTTATATGGGTGTGGGTGTGGTTGGCTAGATCCAATGTTATATGGGTGTGGTTGGCTAGATCCGATGTTATATGGGTGTGGTTGGTGTTGGCTAGATCCAATGTTATATGGGTGTGGGTGTGGTTGGCTAGATCCAATGTTATGTGGGTGTGGTTGGCTAGATCCAATGTTATGTGGGTGTTGTTACGCCCCGAGCTACCTAGACCTTTCGATCTAGGAGGGGAGGTAGACAAGAACACACGTCAAAACTAATGAACACCTTTAATACTTGCTCAAGTTTAATTCTTACATCAAAGATACAACATGTAAAAGTAACCGCCACCAAAATACAACACGAAAATCCTACCACCTAGCCTTATCTAAACTATATACAACTACACGTCCTAACTGGTGTGCTGCTATGCCCTGACTGACTGGTCTCACCAATCGCCCTCCTAATATTCTCCAGTCGTCCCTGACTAGTGTGGGAACCTAGTTAATCGAGCCTGACCCCCCCAGGTCAGGTCAAGTCAGGACATGACCGTCCCCACGGTTTCGTCCGTCCAGAAAAGCTTTCCCAGCCATAAATCACGGGCTGTTGGTCGTTACCAGCCGAGTCCCCAAGACACCAGGTATGCGCCGCCCACAGCGTAAGACCCAATCCGCGTGGGGTCCGAAACGACCCAAAGATTCCCACGGCCAGCACTGGTCAGCCTCTGACCACCGCCAGGTTGATGGATGAGCGTGGGGTCGCTACCCCAACATACGGGTCAGCCCAGGACGAACCCCAGGTGGCCGTAACACCTCCTCCCTTCGAGAGATTAATTCACAGCATGGAGAATTAATTGAATATCACCTAGACCACCACCCCCCGTCTCACAATACCTCAAAAGTAGGGTTACAAAATGTCAAGATCACACACCAGACTAAATTAATTAAAACATCACCATAATTAACAGGGGCGAAAAAAGTGGTGATTTTAGTCACACCAACAGGTTTTGCGAAACAATGACATCAAACATCGACTCAGGTTTTACAACAAGAAACATGGCATCCAACACATTTAAAAATACATTTTAGAAAAAGACAAAAATAGAAGAAACTACTGTTATCCTTAACATAATCCTACTGAAAAGTTATCCCCGAGATAACATATCCGCCACAATGTTATCTTTCCCTTTAATGTGTTTGATTTCTAAATTAAAATTGTGTAGGTACAGACACCAGCGGAGCAGTCGCTGGTTCTTCAACCCGAGTTTGCTTACGAAAGTTAGTGGGTTATGGTCTGTATACACTACCAAAGGGGAGGAACTCACGTATACATCAAAATGTTGCAGTGACAGCACTAACCCTAGGGCTTCTTTTTCAATAGTTGAATAATTTCTTTGATGAGCATTTAATTTTTTTGAAAAATACCCGACTGGATGTTCTAGGCCTTCCTCGTCTTCTTGCATGAGGACAGACCCAACGCCACAATCGCTAGCGTCAACTGCCAGTTTAAAAGGCTTTCCAAAGTTTGGCGCCATTAGGACAGGTGAGTTTGACAATATGTATTTAATCTCCTGGAATGATTGTTCACACTCCACCTTCCATTCGAACTTTATGTTCTTTCTGAGTAGATTGGTGA